GCCAACCACAAGTGCTACTTGTGCTAATGCTTAGAATAAAGAGAATAGGTCAGGTCTTTATCTGACATCTCAAAAGAGTAGGGATACTCCATTTACGTGTTTGTTCTACCATTTTTCCATTTATTCTGTGAGAATCACTCACCTTAGTCTGCTTCAATACAACATCTTTTTACTTCCTTGTATAGTCGTATAGACAATAGAAATTGGGGCAAATAGGTTATCTCATCAATGCACAAATAAGTTCCTTCAATAAATAACATTCGCATTAAGCAGTAAACAATTCATCCCCTGTATATAGAGACAGTAATTTTCCTTTTTTTGAAATAAAAAGATATATAGAGACAGTAATACCAGTCTCTTAGCATATCGCAACCCCAAACATAGGAAATTATCGCCTAAAAGTGGCATGTAATACCATGCAATAGAATGGAGTTAACTCATCTGTAGAAGGAAAAAGTTTTGGTTATGTTGGTTACCACCTTTCCTTCCTACTTGTTGACCTCTTTAAGTTCTGTTTATTCTTTTATATTGCCAGAGGTCAAGAGCTAAAAGAAACGTAAATAGCTCACATGAACATGAAATGATCAAACAAAATGAAAATAGATAATCTATGAAAAGGGTGGAAAAAGCCAAGGGGCATTGTTCTAATCAACTTACATCTTCCTCCAGCTGATATTTATACTGACGCTTCGCTTCAACTTCTTTTCTTCCATTTCTTTTCTCATGGCCGTTAATATCCTGCAAAAATGTGGTCTAAGTTTTAAGAACACGAGTATTTTAGAGAACAAAATCTAATTCCCAAACAACGATAACCAAAATGCGCATAACAAACATCCATAGCAGAATGATAGAGCAAAAATTAAAAGAATCGAGAGCAAACATATAAAAGCAGCTGAAGGATTACCTGAAAAACAGCATTACTCAGCGACCCATCTCCAGCAGAAAATGAACGACTCGCAGCCCGACCAGTTCTCTTCAGATATTTATGAATTGAGCTTCCCCTTCACACAGGCATGACCATTATTAACAGTGTACGCTCGCGAGCAGCAAATTACCTTATACATTTATCCATATATACACGTATACGGCATTTGATAAGAGAAAGATACGGCAGTACGAAAGGCTTTTTACCAGTTAAGTGGGAAACTGAAACCACCAGAGGAATTGCCACCATTGTTGCGATTGCTCTTACTGTGATTACTAGTCGGTGAAGCAGGTGTATCACCTAGAGCTTCTGGTTTGATACAAAGCATATCTCCTGACATTAAAAACTCCTAGTATATTACTAACGATACAAACTCCGGATACATGTGAAGGAAGAAAGCAGATATAAAGTAGACAGAAACCCAGCAATAAATTTTCAAACGAGGGGAGTGAGAGCAAGTAAAATTTTTTTTCGCCGAAAACCCTTTTGAGCATGTGAAAGATGGAGGAAGAGGGATTAACGAGTAGGGGTTCCACGGGTGCAGAAAAAACCAGAAGATGAAGGGACCCAGACCCTATACCAGTAAATCAGTGGTTCTGTCCGATATCTACACTGGGTCCTTTTGCAGCAGTCACCGACAATCCATTAGCCACATCACTTTCCTCTCTACATTTGCATGAATATATATATATATATATATATATAATAGATAATGGGTTATTAAAATGAATTATTTTTCTTTTTTTTTTTTAATTTTTTTCATGTTAGAATATATATATATGTATACATGTATATATAAATCTATCCCTGAATTTTGTTTGGGATAAGTACGAATTTATTTTACATATGAAAATTTATTAATTACTCCAAAAGTAGAAGATGAGCTGGCAGTCCTACACTTTATTTCTAGACAGAAATTGAAAATAAATTAATTAATTACATTTATGGAATTATACTTAATGAGAATTAATTGTTTTTACTTTTTTTGATAATTTTTTTTAGAGTAGTTTTTTTTTCTTCTAATTAAGTTATTATACATTTAATTTAAAGTAATAATTAATTAAAAACCAGGATATTGTTTTAAATACAGGTAATAAAAAGTTTTTTTATTTATTTATTTTTACATTAAATTAAAATATAATTTTTTTTTTGAATTTTATTAGGTTTAGTTAAGTGCCTAATGAATTTTTTTGAAGTATTAAGTAATAATATTATTAAATTAAATGTACTTGGTGAACTATACACTTAACTAACACTATTAATAGTTGCATATTCACTAGGATTTTAATTTCACTTGTAGCCAAGTAGTAACGAATATCTTTGGAATTATGTTTACAACACATAAAATGTGGGTTCATTTAGTTATATGAAAATATTATTTTTAGTTTTTTATTGATATTTTTACATATATATATATATATATTTATTTATAAAATAATGTAAAAATATATCTGTGAAATATGGATAAGATAATAGTCTAAAAATATAAAAATGATCTTCATTGTTATTTTTTTTCATCTCATCTGTTGACTATTTTGTATAGTTTGTGAATAATATATAAATTTAATGATATTATCAAATGGAGTCAAATTTTGTATTTCTTCATAAAATGAATAAATTTTTTTGAAGTCATTGCAATTCTCTTTTATGGTACGAAATATTATCTTATGGACTTAGAGTAAATATTATTTTATATATCATTATAATTTGTGTGCCGTTGATCATAAAATTATAAATTTATATGTATTCAAACTATTTATTGTAATTAATTTTGTAGTCAAAATTCTTCTCTCATTTTTAATTTACGTGACCCAAAACCCATCGTGTTTAAATCAAAACTCACACTTTGTTTTGGGGCCAACTCTGTTTAAACAAAAAAACTCATATTCTTCAAATTATTCATTTTGCCCAGGCTCGAATTGGAGCCCAGTTTTCTTTGTTCCTCAGCCTTCCTTGAAACGACGCCGTTCTGGAAATGAAATTATAAGTCGGATTTTACAACTCCTACATAACAGTGGCTATTCACCCACCTCTATCGATATACATTAATTGCATCTTGCAGCCATAAGATGGTTGATATATATATATACATATATACATGTAAATGTCCCTCTTTAAACAGAGTAATTACATTACAATTCAAGGTCTAACATGGGATCTTCAGAACTTACAATATAATATTTATTGTTATCTGTCACACAGCTCCATTTATTAGGACAGACAATATATACAGCACTACTGCTATATATATATATATATATATATATATCCCCCACAAACAGGAGAAAACTTGTTATCAATTTTTCAGTTGTGAGTAATGGCCTCCCATCAACTACTATCTGTATTTCTTCTCTTCATCATCTTCACCAACTCATCTCATTCTTTTCCTGCGGCAGCCATTGCCAAGGCTGACCCTGCATCTGCCAAATCCAATAAGGTTACTCTCTCCATTTACTACGAATCTCTTTGTCCATTTTCCAGGGCATTCATCATTGACCATTTAGTCAACCTCTCCAACACTCATCTCATCTCCTCTGTCAATCTAAAAACTGCGGCCCTGGGGCAATTCTGCACTTGTTCAACACAGTAACACCATTGTTTGCCAGGTTAGTTTGCCTTGTCATTTCTTCAAGTTTTGATTAATGGTGTTTTATTATCTTTGATTTCTCCTTTCTATTTCTTTCCCAAAATTATGCAGCATGGTGAAGATGAATGTTATACTGAATATTATACACGCATGCGCTATCAATATTTGGCCTGACCCGGTGAGACTAAATTACTATTTGTTAGATTATTAAGAATAAAAGTGTGTGTGTCTTTAAGTAACTTGAAGTTATAAAAGCATGTAGGAGAAGCATTTTGGGTTCATTCGGTGTGTTGAAAATGGCGGAGCGGAGGCAGATGAGCACTCTAAGGAGGCAGAAGCAATGTGGAAATTATGTTCTAAAAGATGGGGACTGAATGAGAAAGCTATCGAAGATTGCTATAATAGTGGATACGGAAGAAAGGTAACTCCAATCTATTTATTTATAACAGATTGAAAGACAAAAGTAAAACTCGAATTGTCTAACTCTTCAATCCAAATTCTCTTTCAGATATTTGTTCTATTTCAATCACTAAGTCTGACTAATTTACACTCAATTGCAGATTGTTCTTCAATATGGCAGTGAAACTGATCACTTAAATCCACCGCGGACATTTGTACCATGGGTGACATTAAACAATCAGCCACTCTACGGTGTAACTGTCTATGAACCCAAGAAAATCTAGAAACAAATTAGACCTAATCAATAATCTTTTAATTGATTAAAGGGTTTGTTTGGATGCAGGATTATAATAATTTTGTATCATATATCTGCAAGGCATATCAAGGAAAAACTGTCCCTGAGGGTTGTAGATCCCCTTTGTCTTCCAGTTTAACAGAGAAGCAAAATTTAGCCCATGAGGCATCATGCCATACTGACGAAGCTACAAATTCAATCTTGTTTAACTCAGGAAGAAATTCAAAGCACAATGGATGAATTGCTGCTTCATAACAATACCCCTGAAATTACACATCTAAAAAATCAATTGAACCTTCTGAAGCAATTTTAGATTGGTATTGCAAAGTCCAGATATTGCATTCTGAGTTTGTGCCGATACATAAGAGGTAAATTTCTGAGTTCGTCAGACACTAGGATGTTAATAATTATATTAATCAAGGTTTTTGTGTTATCAGAATCAGAACTTATCCCAATGATCTGATGACAAACAATTTTGTTTAGCATCTTTCATTACTTATTTTTGGTAAGATGACTCTTCAATGGATTCATAAAACTAAAAATAATCATACTCTGCATGACATCACTACTGCAACTTCTCTTGTATTCAGCATTTTACATTACAATAACCTAGTGAATTTCCCAACCATAGAAAGAACAAATACACATAGATCCACAAATTTGTTCTGTATGCTATTTCCCAACCATAGAAGGAACAAACACACATAGATCCACAAATTTGTTCTGTATGCTATCAGAGAGCATTAAGTCAATTCCTAGGATTGAATTAGATTTTACGACTCAAAAAACCAATAATATGTCACCACTAACAATATGTTTACAAATCAAAAGATGCCAAAAAGCCAAGTAACCTGGTTGCCGAAAAAAGATCAGCGAAGAACTAAAACAAAAACACAATCATTTATCCTAAAAAAGCAAAGAACTAGACAAGCTAAAAAGAGGAAGGAAAACCAAAAGAAACAAAGTAAAATGGAAAAATAAAAGTAGCAATAGTGATATTACTTTTTTAACATCTTCCAAATGCTGTCACATATACCATATGAAGTCATCTTCGTCCAGTCCAATGCAAATTTCTCAAGCATCTTTTTGTCCCTATCCACAATATCTGTTGTTCAATTGATTTAATGACAGTTCATGTGCCAATTTTGAAACTGCTTCAGATCTGAATATACTTGCAAAGCAAGATAAGATACTTTCCAAAAAAAGGGAAATAAGGGCTCTTCTCCTCCGCAGGAAAAAAAAAACTAGACGGATACGGCCTGAGATTTCCAATTCATCATTCAAGTCGGGAATAATATCTGTTATAGAAGCAAACATAGAAAGCTTTTTCCTGCAAAATCAGATGAAAATATTTCAGCTTCAGCCATTTACCAATCTCACTCCTCAAAAGAAAAAGGACACAGAAGCCACCCAGCAACAGATATTACAGAAAGAAGTTTTCATGGCCATATAGAGATTCTTGAACAACAGATATACTTTATACTCGAAAAATCAAGGAAGAATACCATCATGCTCAGGATAGATAAGCTATAACAAATTCTAAATGCAGTTAAGTGATGACAAATTCAAAAGCAAACCAGCCAAAGTTGGCTGCATTACTTTGTTCCTCTAATGATTACAGTGTTTAGGATGATTTTTCAGGGAGCAAAATCTGTTTTGAGAATCTGACCTGTTCTGTCAGGGTCTATAAGAAAAATTCCCAACAAAAATGGCCAAAAAATATTTTGAAGGGGAAAACGAACTAGGCTTTTCATTCTATTTAAAATAGATATGCAAGCTCAAATCAGCAGAAAGGATAATCATTGACAGCAGCAATCAAACACTGAGAGTAGTGCACCTGAACCTGGTGAACAATGGAAGAAAACTATACTACTGAATCTTTACCAACTCAGATAGAAAATGACCAATTTCCACCGAAGTTTTATCCCAAACCTTTCCAACAGAGGATCACAAAAATGCTTGCACAATTCTACAGTGAGCCAGTTTCTTCTAGAGATCAAACAAAATATCAACTGTATATTCAGAATGAAATCTATAAGCCTAAGCCAAGATCACCAACTGACTGACAGAAAAAGAACATAAAAGCCTTATGAAATCAAACTTTTGGTTTTTGAAACTAGAAGCTAAAAATATCAAAATGTCTAACCATTGCCACTATCTCAACAATTGAGTATGCAATCAAGGATAAAGGTGAAAAAACAAATGAGATTGCTCAGTATATCTACTTACTGTTCCCTCAACTCCTGTTGTTTGACTTTCTTTAACACTTGCTTTCGTTCTTCAATCCAAATTCTTTGCTGATCCAGATCATTTATCTCATTGGTTATTACTGTATTTGAAATTTTTTTTAAAAAATGTTCAGAAGAAAAGAATAAAGACCCACGTTATTCAGCTACGAGAGTTTCCAGGATTGCATATTTGAAGCTTATAATCAGCTTTAAGCACTCTTGCTCTAATATTTGTGCTGGGAAACGTAAAAGATCAGGATGTTTATTAGGTTTTTAAAAGTGATTTTTAGAAGGTAGAAAATAAGAGAGCCTAATTTTGACTTTTTGGTTCTTTTTTTTTTATCTCACTAATTTACTTAAGTATCTTCTTTATATTTTCTTAAATTTAAAAATGTATAAATAAAATAATTTAAATAACAAACTATATTTTTCATTAATTTTTTTTGTAAAAACAAATTACTTATCTTTTGCAATCAGCAATTTATCTGTTCGCTCGCGTAACTACTTATTTTTTAAATAAGAATCTATCTGTTTTAAGTAGCTTAAAACATCATTAAGTTATAAATACGTTTCTTTCAGCAATCCCAAACACTTTAAACTAAAAAATACTAACAGTTCATTTTGTGTATACTTATCTAAGTTCTTCCTTAAGCATACACTCCTTTTCAAGTGCCTCTTCCAATACTTTTTGTAGATGGTCAGTTTCAGCTTCAGTAGCAACTTCAGTCTTTGCCGCCTCTGCTTTCTCCTTGCAAGAGTTTATCCTCCTTTGATAATCTATCCAATTAAAAAACTCTTCAGTCAAAACGCTTAACAATCACAGAGATTTTCATTTACGATGATCGACATTCATCTAATCCAGTGTTTTCCACAGGTATATCCAACACAAAAGAGAATGACCAAGTATAATCCAAATTTTTCTATGGCTAAAATCCCAAATCATTTGACTTTATTTCTCATCCAGGAAATTTCAGAATTCCATCCCTTCACAAACTTTGCTTATGATCATGTCTTAAACTTTTTGGGAAAAACTAGTAGAAATAGCCATGAAATTTCATAACCATTATAAAATTATATTTTAAGTTCCACAAGATGCAAAAATTTTCTATTTCCAATTTTTTACTTCCTTCTATGATTTTTGGGCTCCACAGAAGCAAGCAAAGGTTAGAGAAGACACAGAAGTACCTTCAATAGATCTCTGAATCTCTTGGAAATCAGCATCACAAGAGGACTGAAGTACTCTTCTGTGCTCCAGACACTGCGTCAAGTCACTAATGTCCTTCTTATCCTTCAAACCCTCAATTAGATCATTACTGTTAGAAATTAATTTCTCCACATCTGTCTCCCTTGAGAGATTCCCCAATTTTTACACCACTAAGTCCTCAACATGGCCAGATATAAGTTTTGGTGATTTGAGCTGAATGAAGAAAAAAAAATAAAAAACAAATAAGCAAGGGTTTGTAAGAAGGAAGACGAAATGCATAAACTGATCGGTTTATTTGAATTTGTCAAGCAAAAGGTGGTTATCGGCTACACTTAAGGTAGTAAGAATCAGAAATAAGCAAATCAAAACCACAAATGGGTGATAAAATTCAAAAATTAGCAATAAAACAAATATCATTTGGCATGGAAACAAATGCCAGAAACATTCATCATTGCATTTGAATTGGCTAAACTTGAACCTTCCTAATTTAAAACCAAAGAGGTGAGGGTGTCGCAACAATGATGCAGGCAAAACTCCACAAAAAAGATTAGTAAAGAGAAACTCAGTTGGGTAAAAAGTAGGTCAGAACAGGTAAAACACTAACCCGATGCCATAGACTAATAAATTTTGGCTTACGCAAACCAAAGATAACAGTTAATAAAGTAATTTAATGAAGCAAGTTGGCGTAAAGCTAAATTATCCAAAAGGTTCCAAGCATGCATTTGTCAGGAGTCTTAGACATATAAACTCCAAGAAGCAGAAATTAGAGAGAAAGTGAGAGTAAGACAGAGAAGAGAGAGAGAGAGAGAGAGAGAGAGAGACCGAGAATTGAGAATGAAGTATGAAAAATTTTAGAATTTTCTTACCATATCATTGTAATGATTGGGGTATTTACAGGCTAAAAGATTTGAAATTCTTTCTCTTAACAAATTTTGTTACAATCGAAAATTCAAGAAGAAAAACAGATTTCAACAAAAAGATTAATAAAGATAAATGCCCTGCATTTATCTCCAAGCAAACATGTTCCCCAACCTAAGGTTCCGAAAACGGTCAGATCACCCAAACAGCAGCAAAGAGTGCAAATAACCATGCATTTCATTATTCCCAAAGCAAGCAAACATTTTCTTCTTTTTCCGAAACAACCTTACAAGATCTTCTTTTACTCTCTCTGGCTTTCATCATAACCGTGCACAATATGGATAATTTCAGACAAAAACAAAACCCGAATTAGCAGTAAGACTGTGATGATATCTGGACATCATTATCACAATTTAGCAGCCATTACAATATCTAGGGAACGGGACTAACCAGGAACGTAGTAAAGCAAAATGTTACGATATTCATATTAGGGAAGTTTGAGAAAGGAATTTTAGAGAAAATTACCTAGGCAGTACCCAAAATAAAGATCCCTTTGTTGTTGAAATCCCCTGAAACCGACTTCAAAATTTCTGCTAGCTTCATCAAATCCCAAACCCAGAAGCTGGGTCCTTCTTAATCGCTTTACCTTCCTGTTCAGGCGCGAAACTGAGTTTCTTTTATCATCATATTAAAAAAATTTAAATTTTGTGATAAATTAGAAGTAAATGATATTATTATTATCATATTAAACAAACTAAAATTTTCTAATAAATTATAATCCTTGATAAGTTGATGTTTAGATAGATAATATTGTGATTTAAGTGTTTAGATGAAATTATCAATATTACTATAACAGTGAAATAAGACAAGTAATGTCAAAGCTTCATCATTTAATGATGCCTCCTGTAGCTGCATGCTGAACTGATCAATGGCCATAAACAAAGAGAATATAGTAGGAAGAGATGAGGAGGTGGGAAAAAAGAAGCTAGTTTCTCTAAAATTTTCATTGCTGTCCTTTTTCTGCTAAATAATGTGGATCAAGCTAGTAATCTGGAATCAGGATATTATTTAAATTTCCAGCCAACCCATTAA